ACACGTGTACTGCAAATGCAATTATGTAGTATGTATGTATGCTATTACGCCAAATTCTGTTCATGCCGCCATGGACAAATTATCACAACGGATTCTCGACGCTACGAAAATAGGACCATATTAAGCATAGTATAATATTGTATATAGTAAAAAATAACTACAGACATTCTGTAAACTTGTACTCTAGTCATTTGTGCATGCATGTGCACAAAACTGTAAATACTCACATAAATGTAAATAGATTATAAATACTTTGCCCGACTGTGTAGAATACATATAATAGAGATTATCATGCTTTACTATATAAAGCAATAGTGCATGTATTGTACCTATGATATATGTACCATACCAGTTATAGCATATGCAGTCAAGCATACGCACAATTCCACTATATATGAACCAGAAGCATTTATGCCTAACTGTATAGCGTAGATAGATTACAGGTACTTATCACTAAGTACATGTACTTAAGTGGTGCATGGTATCATAGATCTAATGTTAAGTTTATGCCAATATGCCCCTGTTACATCAATTAGCATCGCTTTTAGCACATACAGTCAGAAATAACAGAACAGTCACTTTGCGCTTTGACACTGATCAGCTTTTAGAGGTATTGTTTCACCCTTTAATGAAGTGTTTCTTCATATCTCACTCCAGCAAGGTCCTAGAAACTGATTGCTACGACCGAATGGTCGAATCTTTAACAGCGAAATGAAGATTTGCATGGTGGGCGAACATTCGGCCGTTATGTTAAGCAACCATCTTGCAGTGACCTAGATAATCAAAATGAAGTATATGTGTGATTATGCATTATGCTGGAACTTCTTGTCTCTTTTGCATCTACCTGACGTCATTACTTAGTGAAACATGCCTGAGGACGAAAGTCAGAGACAAGACTCGTCAATCATCTCATTTTAAAGGTTCCTCGGAACAATATCTGAGACAAAAGGATTTGTCGGCAAATGATGTAACTTACAATGCAGTAAATGCAGCTGTTCCCATAAGACCTGAAATTATCCTCAGCAGCAACACTCACCTTTTGCATGGATACCTCTCATGACGCTTTCACGCCTCTTCTAACAGTTCGTAGCATGACACAGCATTGGCACGAAGTCAACTTTACCGCAGAACTGCTATCCCATCCTAGCGCATATTCTCGAAGATCCTGATAGCCACAGGCGACTACCCGTTAACATATTTGGTCTGTAATAACTCTTTCACCTCTTGCTGCATTATTGTTCTTGCTTGTTTTATTTACCATTTATCGCTTCCGTTTAACTTTAAACATATTACACACTGATATATGCCACAATGGCTGTGATTACTGTACTATTCACAAATACTGAACTTCGTCGATGATTACAGCTTTATGATTATGCTCAGTTTTACATTTGTTTTGTCGTTTTTCTTACTATTCTACGCAGTGCCTTTTTGTCATAGAACGCACCGGAACGGCGTTCCGGGACATTTTTCCAAGTTTTAAAAGTAACTTTAGAAAATTTGACGTTGGGTCCACGTGGAATTCAGTCGCCCTGTGGAGTGCAGCAGGTCGGCGGAAAAATCACTAAAATGGTGCATATAGGGGTGGTAACTAACATTAACAAGATGTGAGTTCCGGTACCTTTTTTCTGACAAAAAGGCACTGCTTCTATGCCTCTTTTTGCCTGTGTTGAAAAATGGCTGCCTTATTATATTTCAGTTTAGACTGCAAAGTAGCGTATTGGTACGAGGTTAGATTCAACCTTGTTTTATTCAAGATTCTGTTGAGCGATGAATTTATTACACATTTCTTCACACCAGGTTTGCTCAATCGGTAGAAACTCGAATCGACAGTTCAAAGTTCAAGCTCCGAAGTTTTGAGAGCTGTTCTTCCTCCTGAGGTTGATAAATGAGTACCATTCTGTAGGAATGAAACAGGTGACTACACGCTAGGTTTGCCATATGACTATAAACTCTGCCGTTAAAAAAATAAAGGCACTCCTGGTTGAGAGCATAAAAACGGAGATCAGAATCGCACAGTCAACTTCATAAAAAGAAAGGCGCCAAAATGGCCGTCATGAAAGTAAGGGAAAACCAACATTCTAGCGTTAACCCACTTTCTTCACATAGTAAAACTTCAAGGATACATCACCTTATTATGACGTCATCAGTAATCAATACGATTCAGTGGTACTTACGATCTCGTCGCTGTGCGATTCGCCACCACTGTTCTTCCGTTCCTGAGATCGCTTCGCACTTCTACGCAGGAAGCTTTCCTTCAGCTTCGACTGAGAATCGCCTGGGGCAGTAACAGAGACGGCTGGGCCTCGGCCCCTGAAAAGGCATTCGCTGCGTTTCAGATAGCGTTTCGAGTGCTTGATGAGGAGATTCGAAGTCGAAGAGGTGGTCGTCTTCGCTTCGGCAGTCTTCTTCGTTTCAAAGCTAGTTCCTTGCCCTCCTGCTGTTCCAGCGTCAACTCCGCGAACGCTGCTGTTCAGGGAACGGCGAAATCGGCTGCTGGCGGGGTGACTCCAGTCGCTGTCCCGGTGCTGTTCCGCCGACAATGACGAAGAGGCGTCATCGAGATGTGTCATCGACACGAATGTCACCGGACTAGTTTTGTTGCCTCGCCGCCACCGGAACGAGGACAATGACGAGTCGTCGTCGGAGGAGGTGAACGACGAGGCGAATACCAGCTTATCGGTGCTCAGCGACCGTCGGCCAAGGTTGCTCCTCTGTTCCTCATGGTAGTGTTTCAATGCGTCGCGCGCGAGTTGAAAAGGCATTGATAAATGGTG